CGTCCTCTTTTTTGCTCGCTGAAATATGGTAACCCTACCTTCACCTGCCCCAGGCCCCGAGCTTGCTCTGGGCCACGACCCGCTCCCCCCCCCAACTGTGTTCGAGCCCCCAAACCCTTATGGGAGACCCCTCCCCCTTATCCCCATGCCACCCTGCCTGTTCTCACCCCCAGGAGCCACATGGGCAAGGCCCTGCCCCTCACCCCCTGCCCTGGATCCCTTCCCCCTCTGGGCCAGGTCTCCCCCACATTCCATCTCTCTCTGTTCACAACTCATCAATCCCCCTTCATTTTACTGCTTCCCAGTCACTTACTGCAGGAAGCGCCATCCATGGGGTGCAGTAGATCACACCGCTGCCACCAGTTGTCACGGAGTGGGGGGAAGTCAGGGTCCTGCACCCCCCTCTTCCTGCGATTCACCGTGACTCTCAGCCAGCCAGTAAAACAGAAGGTTTATTAGACGACAGGAACAGAGTCCCAAGCAGAGCTTGTGGGTACAACCAGGACCCCTCAGCCAGGTCCCTCTCAGGGGGCAGGGAGCTTAGACCCCAACCCTGAGGTTTCCCTTTGTTTCCCCAGCCAGCTTCAAACTGAAACTCCCCTGCAGCCCCGCGCTCCTCCTCCAGCCTTTGTCCAGTTTCCTGGGCAAAGGTGTCACCTGGCCCCATCCCCCTCCCGGCTCAGGTTACAGGCTCAGGTATCGTCCCTCAAATAAAGTCATCCCTTGCGATCCCATCCCCCAAGCAGACAGTCCCAGTAAAACTAGACACATTCCCAGGTCAGTCCCGCTCCCTACCGCGTCACGTCCCAGGTCAGTCCATCCCGCTCCCTACCACGTCACATCCCAGGTCAGTCCACCCCGCTCCCTGCCGCGTCACGTCCCAGGTCAGTCCATCCCGCTCCCTACTGCGTCACAATTTTGAAGAGCATCGCGGCGGAGCAGGCTGGGGAGTATTGCTGCCAGGCCGAGAATGGGATCGGCCAGTCCCCGTCCCCCCCCCCCATCACCATCACTGTCCGGTGTAAGTTCCGGGGACGTGTGAAAAGAGACCTCCGGGGTGGTGAGGGGCCTGGGGTTGTGCCTTTGTGCCGTAGGCCCAGCGCGGG